AAAAAAAAGTGCTTAAAGAGGAATTATGTTTCTTAAAATTGGTTACCCCCACCAATGTTCCAAAAGTTTGTTGACAGCATGAACTACCCTGAAAATTCTTAGTAATTTTAGATTACTTATCTCTCAGACACTAATACACAAACATAAATAATGTATTAATGAAAATGTCACTACAAACTGACAGTACAAAGTCTTAAAGAATATTTTTCAGCTTCTAGATGTGAGAGGCTAATAATTTTTAAAGGTGTTTGTGCAAATATACTATTTGTAAAAATGTATACCATTTGATGTGCTATCTATTGTATCATTAAAATGATAACACCTTAGGGCTGGGGATGTGGCTCAAGCGGTAGCGCACTCGCCTGGCATGTGTGCGGCCCGGGTTCGATCCTCAGCACCACATACCAACAAAGATATTGTGTCTGCTGAGAACTAAAAAATAAGTAAATATTTAAAAAAATAAATAAATATTTTAAAAAAAAATGATAACACCTTAAAAGAATCCTTCCTAACAGGTGAAGAACATCCTAGGATTCTTATTCCTTGAGAACCCATTTTGTGATCCATCTGAGAAAAACCATTAAACCTGCTAGAATAATCTTCCAGAGAGACAGTAATAAGTATTTAGAAGTAAAGTCGTGAGGCTGTTGTTATCTTCTATATACCCTGGCTTCTATATACTGTGGAAATCAGTGGCACAAAAGTTGATAGTAAAACATCAGCTGGTAAGAAGTGATGAATGAAATGCCATTTAGTCTATGGAAATTAAAACTTTCTAATAGCAGGGAAGCCCTGGTTTAAGCCAAAATTCAGAATATGAAGGTAAAGATCAGAATTTCAGTCACTCCTACCCTAGACTACCTTAAGACACATAACTTTTTGAAGCAGCACAGAATATCAATTCAAATAAAAGTAGTACTAGGGCTGGGGATAGGTTATTTATAGGTTTCATTCCCAAAGTCGAAACAAGAATATGCATTTTGAGGGGGCTAATCCAACTTTTAATGTTTTGAAAAAAACATTTAAAAACAGAAGTGCTCTTTTAATGGGCTGGAGAAAGCATCCACATAATCCAGAAATCATTTTAAAAGGTGTTTGTTCCATTCAATGTCATCCATCACTAACCAATTAGGTTTTGGTGTGTGTGTGTGTGTGTGTGTGTGTGTGTGTGTGTGTGTGTGT